GGCTGATGCTCTAACCGCTGAGCCAAACCAGCCAGGGCTGGGCCCCTGTATTTCTAAAGTCCTTTCAAACCCCCCAAAACCTATGATACTGGAAGGATTAGGTTACTGTTGACTACAAGTTCTTAAAGGATGGACTGTAACTGATTCTAGCTATATATTTTAAGCATCCAAATGCTGAATAGTACATTTACTATATTTAGTAATTAGGGGATATTTATTGCCTGCTTCCCTGTTGGATGAATAGATAGGAAATGAGAAATTATTCTGCAGAGATAGGGATAAAGGAATGAAAAAGCCTGAAAGATTTTTGGTTCCTAGAAACAATATCCTCACATGGTCTTGGGGGTTAAACACAGGCCTGAAAGACACGGGTTTCTGATAGTGCCCTTCTGTCACATTTAAAGAAAATATTCAGGGCAAGAGCTAGTTTAGATGAGCAATTCAAACACAGACAATACTAGGGAAGGCAGGTACTACAAATGGAGAAAAACCTATAAGCAATCAAAATCTTATTTTTCTTTTTTATTGCATTTACTGGGATGACATTGGTTAATAAAATGACATATATTTTAGATGTACAATTCTATAATACATTATCTGTGTATTGTATTGTGTGTTCACACCCCAAGCAAGTCAAGTCTCCTTCCATCACTGTTTATCCCTCCTCTTTCTTCCTCCCCCCTACCCCCCTTTCCCTTTGGTTATCACCATGCAACGCGCTGTCTGTGTCTGAGTTGGCTTTTTTTCTTCTTAATCTCTTCACCTTTTTTACCCAACCCCCAAATCTTATTATTTGTTGGAAAACCTTAACATTACCCCATTTCAAATTCCTTTTCTAGAAAGTTAAGAATTAGAATAAGGCACACTGTCTACTCAGCTAAATGTATTAAGGTAGTACTTTACTGAAGTTAAGAGGATGGATATTAGGTTCATCTAGACCTGAAGTTATTCATTTATTAACAACAAAACCTAGTGAAAGTCAATTTCCTAATATGTAAAATTGGGCATATAAGACCTGGTATTTTTTTTTTTATGCAAACAGCTCATTTTAAAAATTATTTTAAAGATGTTAATAACTTAAAATGTATTTATTTATTTTATTACAGTATAGGTACATAATATTAGTTTCAGGTGAACAACATAGTGATTCGAGGAGACCTGATATTTTTAATTCAATGCATACTATGTGGCAGACACAGAATTAGATGCTGAAGATGCAGTAGTGAACAAGACAGGCAGGGGCAGATAGACAATAACCAAGCAAATAAATACATGAGATAATTCCTTTGAAGGAATAAATGAGGCAAGTACAATGGAGGAATTGAAAGTGTTGTAGAGAGTAACTGAAGGGTGGTGATAGAGGGCAAGTAGAGGTGGGAGTTCAGGGAAGGTGGCGTTTGAGCTGAAATCTAAATAAGCAGACAGCTATGCTAGGAGGGAGATAGGAGGAAGAGCCAGAGGCACAGCTGTTGTGAGGAATAACTGAGTAAATGCAAAGCACTTAGTGGTGAGTAACCACTCAATAAACAGCTGCTATTCTTATTACCTTGTCCACTTTACTCTCAGCAAGTTCTGTTCAAACAAGAAGCTGGCCAAGCTGTAGATCAGAGGGATATATATAATTTTTGTGTGTGTATGTGTGGAAAGTAAAAGTCCCCAAGAGATACTCAGGTTCTGGTGTCATCAGTAGATTCCACAGCACTGAATCATACACCCAAGTCAGGTAGAAGCACTAACTCAGCCTCACTCCCAATTTCCTCCTCAGGAGTGACACCATATAGAACTATTTAAACTCCTTAAACTCATAATCTGAGTATTGAAAAATTGTAGCTGGGAAAAGTCTCTCTTAATTTAATTGATATGCATATGTTGTACCTGAGGTTCTCATTATTCCCACTTCTTTTTTTAAAAAATTTTTTATTAAAAGAATTTATTTTTCTTTAGTGATTTGAGAGAGAGAGGGAGAGAGATAGAAACACCGTTGAGAGAGAACATCAATTGGTCACTTCCTGCATGCCCCCCACTGAGGATTTGGCCCACAACCTGGGCATGTGCCCTGACTGGGAATCGAACCAGTGACCTCTTGGTGCATGGGTTGACACTCAACCACTGAGCCACACCAACTGGGCTATTTCCACTTCTTTCTTTTTGGAGTTGTGTGCCTCTGTTTGGTCCAAGTGTAAGAGGCTTTGGGTTTATGAGAGTAGGTGGTCAAGAAGAAAAATGCAGCCTGGCTGATGTGGCTCAGTGGTTGAGCATCGACTCATGCACCAAGAGGTTGCCTGGTCGGGGCACATACCCAGGTTGTGGGCCAAATCCCTAGTTGGGAGCATGCAGAAGGCAGCCAGTCAGTGTTCTGTCTCATCGATGTTTCTATCTGTCTCTCCCTCTCCCTTCCTCTCTCTCTAAAAATCAATAAAGAAAAAAAATTTAAAAAAAAGAAAAGTGCAGAAATGTAAACAGAAAGCTCTGGTTACGTGATTAACTTGATGACTTATTTATGGTAGTTCAACAACATATAGGCATTTAAGGGTTGGTTCAAAACCTTGCTGTGCCCTGGCTGGTTTGGCTCAGCAGTTAGAGTGTCGACCTGAGGTCCAGAGAGACCCGGGTTCGGTTCCCACTAAGGGCACGTACCTCGGTTGCAGTTTGTCCCCGGCCCTGGTTGGGTCGTGCAGGTGGCAACCACTCGATGTGTCCCTTTCACATTGATGTTTCTCTCTCTCTCTCTTCCTCCCACTCTATCTGAAGAAAAAATGGAAAAACGTCCTCGGGTGAGGATTAAAAAAACAAATAAAAAAACCTTGCTGTGACTTTTGGGACAGTTCCATAAACTGATAGTTATTCATGAGAATCACTGAGCACTTACTATATGCCACTCATTATGCTGAGAACTTCAAAGGTATTAGTTCATTTAATATTCCCAACATGCCTATGACGTGTTTTCCTTTTATATTTATCCCCCTTTACATATAAGAAAACTGAGGTTCAAACACCTAATAAATGACAGTGCTGGGATTTAAATCCAGAACTAACTCTGCTCCCTAACCTCTCAAGACCTTGCTTTTAAAACCACTTAGTGGTTAGGTTAGCCTCCCTAAACCAGAGGAAATAATTTCTGAGGGATGCCTTTCTCATCATTAGGGTACCTCCGCCCTAAAGATAAATCCTCAACCAAGAAACTCCCACACAGAAGAGATGGCCTTGTTGGAACAAGAAGCCCCGCCCTGGGCACACACACACAAATCCACCCAGAGAGTCCCCCACCCCCTTAAAGGAGGTCTGCATTGCCCAGCAGGGAGACCCCAGTCTTGTGGATAATCCCTTAATTAATAAGGAAACCCTCTCCCACTCCTAAGGAATCTCTCCCAACTTCAAAGGACAGGCTACACAATTTGCAGGACCCAATGCAAAAAGAAAATGTGGGGGCCTTGGCCAGTTTGACACAGCAGTTAGGGAGTTGGCCCTCTGACCCACGGGTCACCATTTGATTCTGGTCAAGGGCAAGTACTTGGGTTGCAGGTTCGATTCCCAGCTTAGTTGGGTTGTGGGGGAGGCAACCAATCTATGTTTCTCTCCCTAACTTCCACTCTAAAAAAAAAAAATCAATGGGATCTTTTTTTTTTTTTTTGGTATATGCCCCTACTGGGACTCTCTGGTCCGCAGGCCCACGCTCCAACCGCTCCAACCACTGAGCCAAACTGGGGACAGGGTGGGGAGGGAGGATCTAGTTGGGGGAAAAGGAGAAACACCTGCAACAAAAATAAATTAAAAAAAAAAACAATGGAACAATAATATCCTCTGGTGAGGATTAACAAACAAACAAAAAAGGAAAATGTGGGGTTCGTTGTTTAAAATTTGTTTTTCAAGCCCTGGCTGGTTTGGCTCAGCCGTTAGAGTGTTGGCCTGCGGTCCACAGGGACCCGGGTTCAGTTCCTGCTAAGGGCATGTACTTCGGTTGCAGTTTGTCCCTGGCCCTGGCTGGGTTGTGCGGGTGGCAGCCACTCGATGTGTCCCTCTCACATCGATGTTTCTCTCTCTCTTCCTCGCTCTCCCTCCTGCTCTATCTGAACAAAAAATGAAAAAATGCCCTTGGGTGAGGATAAAAAAAAAATTATTTTTCAAGAATGAGACAGTAGGGCATTAAATCAAACAATCTTCTTTCACCGCACTGGCCATTTGCCCAGGTAGCCGGCCCTGCTTCTGAGATACCCTTTCAGTGAAGGGATTGGCCACCTCAGTCAGAATCCGTAAATACTTCTGACCAGGGGTGGACCCGACTATCCTTATTTGAGACAAATCTTGGGACAACCTCAGTAAATTCTGCATCACTTCTCTTGGCTTGGGCAGAAGCTCCCCTAGTACCCTTCTAGCCGCTGGGTGGTTCTCGATGGCGCGCCCCAGCTCCACCTTCGGGGTGTGTGGGCCTCACCGCGTGCAGTCCATTGCCGGGGCAACCGACGCCACAAGTAGTGCATTGTGGTCTGCAACAAAATGCGGGAGAAAGATCCTGAGGGAACCATTGAGCTCATTGACCAATGGGAGAGCCCTAGGAGCTGCGTTAAGCCAATAGGACTGTTTGGTGGGGGCGGGGCCGGTGGGAACAGGGCGGAGCCTAGGCGCTAGGCGGCGGCGGCTGCTGTGGGGCTCCTTAGATGCGCCACGGCTTCGGTAGCGACGGCTTTCCTCGCTGGGTCTGAGCCTCGCCAGCCCCTCCCCCAGGAGACCGTTGCAGTCGGCCCGCTCCTCCTCCACTGTGAGAGACTCGGGAGCTCCGGGGGGGGGTTTCGCTACCTGGTTTTGTTCCCCGCCAGATTTCTCCCGCCGTTGGGTCCACGCGGGCCGTCCTTCCTGAGAAGTAGGGTGGGGGCGTCATCCCGGGATGGGATGGGATGGGATGGGATGGGGTGGGGTGGGCGGAGCGGGCTGGGGAAGCTGGCGCATCGCCGGCGCAGCTCACACCCCAACTCCTCATCCCTTTCTCGGGCCTCGTTCCTCAGGTAACCATGTGCGACCGAAAGGCGGTGATCAAAAATGCCGATATGTCGGAGGAGATGCAACAGGACTCCGTGGAATGTGCTACTCAGGCGTTGGAGAAATATAACATAGAGAAGGATATTGCGGCCCATATTAAGAAGGTAAGGAAGGGGCTCTGGCGGGGGCGCGGGCTGATTGCGCGTAGCTGGGGCGAGTCGCAACTTAGTTACTTCTCCCGGATCATGCATCCCCAGAGCGCCTGGTAGAGATCCTTGAGGGCACGCAAGGTAGCTCGGGTGTAGAGGTTTCCAGAAAGAACGCAAGTGAATTTTGCGCTCCTCTTGGGAAGACCAGAACGTCGGCGCCCCAAGTTTTTTTATTACCCAGCTCCGCAGGGGAAAGCGCCACCTAGCAACGGTTTCTAGGATCTGGGAGCAGCGGTTCCCCCCCTTCTGCACGATTCCTGCGTGGAAGATCCATCTGGGTGTTCGGGAGGGGGGAGCTGCGTGGGTGTATCCAGCCAGCCCAGAGGGAGATCTTGCCAGCCTTCCAGTGGGGAGTTTAGTCGGCAGTTGACAGTGGGTGGTAGTTTGGTGGTTGGGGGGCTAGGGTAGGGGCTTGGTAAATGACAGTCTGTAGGAAACTGGGAGCCTAAGCCCTGAGAGGGTTCCAGTGCAGAATGGGAAGATGAAAGACTTCGGGTGGAATATAAATAAATACCTTTTTTTTTGACAAATGTAGTAAGAATGTTATTCTCCTTAATCTAAAAGATGTTCATGCTGCATACAGTAAGGGTAGCCAGACCACAGACTTGTAATAATTTTATGGATAAGGATTAGCTTTGGCCCCTGTCTGCAGTCACCTAGGGAAGAAATTAACACGGGCTTTCTAGTTAGTTCCCAAGCCTCTTGGGGTGGAGAAAATAGGGGGAAAGTGTCTCTGCGACTTGCTACCCTTGTGGACCAAGTGGTATGTCAACATCAAGATAAGATGTGAAAAGGAGGGCTATTGAAATTACAATGGTAAAATTTGACCAGGTGGCTGTTAGATTCTGCTTCCAGGATTCTTTTTATAGGAGCATGGAGTACTAAGTGTCTTGTCTCTTTAAATTAAAATTTTGATCCACATTGGTTTAGATGCTAATTGAGATTTTGTCCTTTTGGAAGTCGTTAGTTATCAATGATGCTGGAGTGCAGTTAAGGAATGAGTGGGGTATTTAGGACTAAATATTTACCGTTTTCTTGGATTTGGGGGTACATGACATAGAGTAGGAGGATTGTTTAGTCCTGTTTATACATAAGAGCAAGATAAACTAGATCTGTTGATGTCACCTGCTATTATAAAAGTTATGAAGGTGGAATTACCATAACAAAGTGCAGTGTCTTTGAGGCTGCCCTTTCTGCTTTTTACATCCCAGCCCCCTTTCCCAGCTTAGCTCAGACTGCAAGTATGTTTGCATTAATGCACCATGTAGGCGACTTGGAACTGGGGAACATTCTTTCATTCTAAGAATTTGCAGATGCTAACGTTCCTCCTTTCTGCCTGGGCAGGCTCTGACCTCTGGTTTAGAACTAAAATTCAAGTGTTCTTTTTCTCTCTCCTCCATCCCCCCAGGAGTTTGACAAGAAGTACAACCCCACCTGGCACTGCATCGTGGGGAGGAACTTCGGTAGTTACGTGACACATGAAACCAAACACTTCATCTACTTCTACCTGGGCCAAGTGGCCATTCTTCTGTTCAAATCTGGTTAAAAGCATGGACTGTACCACACACCCAGTGATCCATCCAAAAATAAGGATTGCAGCCTAAATTCCAAATACCAGAGACTGAAATCTTCAGCCTTGCCTAAAGGAACACCTTGATCTTGAACCTTTATTGTGTTGTTTTGTACAGGGCATTCTCTGTACTCATTTGTTGTGGTTATAAAACAATTAGCAAACAGCTTAACATTTGTATTTATTTTCTATTCCATACCTCTCTGCCCTATGTTTTTCCTCCTCAAAATCCATTCCTTTCCTTCCGAAATAAAATTTGTTGGAGAACTCTGTGTTAGTTACAATTTGTTTAATTAATCTAGGGATAAAGATGGCCCATAACCATCTAGGTTAGTGGGGGTGAGTCCCTGAAGTAAGGTTCTGTGGGATATAGTAGACTAGCCTATTCGGTACTTACTTGGAGTATAATTCTCAGACATCTACGACTGTTATGCATGTTGGAAGAATACTCAGAAGTGCATGTCAGAGAAACTTTTGTTTCTATTCCTAACCTGATAAATACTGTTTTTAGTAAGTGCTCATTTTGTTGAAAGATGTTGCTATAGAATGTTTTGGGCCTTGCCTGGCCAGTGTGGCTCAGTGGTTGAGTGTTGACCCATGCACCAAGAGGTCGCTGGTTCAAGTCCCCAATTCCTGGTCAGGGCACATGCCCAGGTTATGGGCCCGATCCCCGGTGAGGGGCATGCAGGAGGCAGCCAATTGATGTACTCTCTCATCAATGTTTCTGTCTCTAAAATCAAAGAAAAAAATGTTATGGGCCTTTGGCCTAGGTGGAGGTGATGAATGTGTAGTAGAACTTTATATAAGCTTTCTGTGGTTATAAAATAGAAACAAGATGGTAACTAAATGTGCTAATGAGAAATTTGTTCTCTGGGCTATTCCCTCTCTGCCAGGCCCCAAAAGGATACTGTAAAGATTAATGATGATTTTAAAAGGAAAAAGTTTTTTGAGCAGCAGCCCTCCATGTGATTCTTACAAGTCTTTTCAGGAATTGAAAGGTGTAAGCCGCCCTGGCCAGTTTGGCTCAGCAGTTGGAGCGTCAGCCTGCAGTCCATAGAGACCCAGGCTCAGTTCCTGCTAAGGGTGTGTGCTTCGCTTACAGTTTGTCCCTGGCCCTGGTTGGTCGTGTGGGTGGCAGCCACTTGTGTCCTTTTTGCTCGATGTTTCTCTCTCTCCCTCTCCTTCCCTCCCACTCTATCTGAACAAAAAATGGAAAAAAATGTCCTCGGGTGAGGATTCAAAAGAAAATGTGTAAGCCTGTTGTGCTGTGCTTTAGCTGTGGTCAGAAACTCAATTGACAAATGTGAATTTGTTTTTCATTAAAAAAAAAAAAGCTGAATAAGCCTTCATTAAAGTTTTCCTGCTACCAATTTTAGGAAGACTTAAGTTTTTAAGCAAATATGGCAGATTTATCTTGTAGGTAGAAAGAAAATACTCCAGCCCTGGCCGGTTTGGCTCAGCGGTTAGAGCGTCAGCCCGAAGACCAGAGTCCCAGGTTCAATTTCCGCTAAGGGCACATACCTTGGTTGCAGTTTGTCCCTCACCCCATTGGGGTCGTGTGGGTGGCAACCACTTGGTGTCTCTCACATCGATGTTTCTCTCTCCCTCTCTCCTTCCCAATCTATCTGAAGATAAATGCCAAAAAAAAATGTCTTCAGGTGAGGATAAAAAAAAGAAAGGACATACTCCAGAAGCTGAAACAATTGACACCCATCTTGGGGTTGCAAGGAAGGTCCTGGCTTTTTAGTTACCCTATGCTCAGTGTTCACATGAGGTAAGGCTTTTAGTTTTAAATCTTGTGTCTGTGAGATACAAGTACGATTTCTGAACAGCCAGGCTATGGCTACACAGAAGAGTGATTTTAATTGGTAGGTGATGACTTCATCTTAGGAGCAGCATTAGGTCTGTAACATCTGTGGAAGATTGTTTTTCTTTACCAGAACTTGCTGTTTTAGGAGTCCTAGTGAAGTTGAGCTGTGTTAGGACTGGGAACATTTTCAGTCTGTTCATACAAATACAAGCAGCTGGACATCAGGGGTTCTGGCTTGATTAGGCCCTTACTTACTGCCAGGGAATGGATGTTTTTAACTTATTTATTCGATTTTTTTTTTTTTTTTTTAAATAGGAAGGAAGAGGGAGAAGAGAGAAACATCAATGAGAGAGAAACATCAATCAGCTGCCTCCTGCACACCCCATACTGGGGATTGAGCCTGCAACCTAAGCATGTTCCCTGACCGGGAATCAAACCAGCAACCTCTTGGTGCATGGGACAGTGCACAATCTACTACGCCATACTGGCTGGGCTGCTTATTTGTATTTTTTATTTTATTTTTTTCATTAATCCTCACCTATTTTATTTTTTTCGTTAATCCTCACCTGAGGATATTTTTCCCCATTGGGTTTTAGAGAGAATGGCAAGGAAGAGAGAGAAACATCCATATGTCTCTCACATTGATGGGTTGCCTCCCACACACACCCCAACCAGGGCTGGGGGATGGAGCCTGAAACCAAAGCATGTGCCCTTGTCTGGGAATTAAACCGGAGACCCAGGGCTTAACTTACTTCTTTTATTCAGATGTGAGGAAACCACATTGCTGTGGAGATAGGACTGGGATGATGGTTTATGAAATTCCCTTCAGTACCTGCTCCTTATTAATTTCAAAGGCCCATAGGCTCCAGCTGGCTGGGGGGAAAAATGTAAGCTAAAGTTTTTCTAAGGTTTAGCATTTTATTAAGTGCTCTTAGTTGCTGTCTTTGAAATAGTTGCATATAGACAGCTGTATCTGGAAGCTTTTCAGTGACATGGCAAGGTCTTATGAGTGAAGGGACACAAATGATCCCTACTGTGCTGGCACAAGAAGAGGCAGCACATCTGAAGCCTTTTCAAATAGCCCTGAACCAAGTTACCCACAATGAACAAAATTGCCAACCAACTCCCAGGTTGGTTTCTGTAGTTTCTTAGCAAGGCCCCACAAACACCTTAAGCTTTATCCACATAAAAAATAGGGCCTCATTTTTATTTTTAAATATGTTTTTATTGATTTTTTTAGAGAGAGAGGAAGGCAGAGAGAGAGAGAGAAACATCAATCGGCTGCCTCTTGCATGCCCCCAACTGGGGACTGAGCCTGAAACCTGGGCATGTGGCCTGACTGGGAATCTAACTGGGACCTCTCAGTCCATGGGACGACATCCAATCCACTGAGCACACTTGCCGGGCTACGGCCTCATTTTAACATCAATTACTATATTAAGGATACAAGAGCTCTGCCCGACTCTGTCCCCGAGAATTGGAGATGGTTAGGCTAGATAAATAGTTTTCAAACTGTATTTGCTATAAAACCCTTTCCCAAAATATATTCTGACAAAGAAGCTCTCTACAGAAGACATAAAAGGAGGAGTTTGCTGGTACATTTATTCTTTCCAAGATGTGTTGTTTTCAGGACAGGCACGGAGGGCAGCAGTGGCTTTTGGAAGAAGAGCACTGAATGATAACAAATGCATTACCCTCAAGAAAAATAATCACAAATACCATACAAATTGTAAACTCATTTACTGGTTCAGTACACAATTCTAGTTGTGATTGTTAGCCCTCTGATGGGCCTTGGCTTCTGGCCCTCACCCAGTCCTAGGCTGACAGGTTGACTCAGGTACAGTTAGGAAATTTTCTGGTTCAAATCATCACCAGATTCAAATGATTCATTGTCTCTGGGAAGTCAGCACCAGCAGAGAAACTACAAACATGCTTCAAAACCAAGCTTTTGTGCTGGTTTTACCTTAACCACACACTGTACAACTGAGGAAAAAAGAGCAGGAATTGAGCAAAAAATACAGACATAATACCTCAGGGAGAAGGCCTGAAGCAGTTCCCAGTGAAAGTTGAAATAATGTGACAGGAACTTGTTCCTTCCACTTAGCGATTGGTCGGATCAGACATGAGTCTGAGGCACACATCCTTAAGAGATGTTCTGTTGCTGGTCTCACTGGCCTGACAGCCTTCAGTTGCAGGCCCTTGACAGGATGTGAGAGGTTCGTGCTCCAGGATGGTGAAGGAGTTATAGTTTGAAGCCAGAGTGAATGGCCACAATGCCTGATGTTAGATTTTCATAAGTCACTTTCTGAAAGCCTGCATCTTCTATCATCTCCTTGAACTCCTCCTGCAACACAAAGGGGAGATATGGCAAGGATCCCCTGGATGTCACCTTTTGGGCCTTTGTCATAAGCAACAGAAATTTTGTACCTGAGATGGGAACTGGCGAATACTCTCTACAAGGTATTGGTAGGACTTCCAGTCTCCTGCAATGACCTCTCCTAGGACAGGAATGACCTGGAAGCTATAGAGATCATAGAGCCTAAACGAAAAGGCAAAAGATTAAGGTTAGCACACACCCCTTGGTAAGAAGCAAGGAGGTTCTAAGCCTGGTGTCATAAACTCAAATGCCTATAGGGCTCAAGCAAGCATCTCAGGGAAGAGGGCCAGGTGCGAGGTCAGTAGGGAGTAGTGAGGATGTGGTGACAGGTAGGTAGGAAGTACCATAGAAGTGGAGAAGGGGTAGTTACTACTCAGTTCTGACTATAGCCCTGTGGGAATACAGCTTACCCAGGGTTGCCGTATTATCTGATTTCTCAAGTGAAGCTGGAAATCCAGACTTTTATGTAAACTTTTCTGATTTTATTTTATTTATTTTTTCCATTTTTTGTTAACATAGAGTGGGAGGGAGAGAAAGAGAGAAACATCGACATGAAAGGGACACATCGAGTGGTTGCCACCCACATGACCCAGCTAGGGCTGGGGACAAACTGCAACTGAGGTACGTGCCCTTAGCGGGAACCGAACCCAGGTCTCTCTGGACCGCAGGCCGACACTCTAACCGCTGAGCCAAACTGGCTAGGGCAACTTTTCTGATTTTTAAATATGGACATCTAAGTCAACTTCTCCAAATGCCAGGACTCAAACAAAATCTGTGGAAAGACTGAAGCCTCTGGTTGCTGGTTTGAGACTCTTCTGGTCTAGATGTTGTCATTGGAGTGTCTGACCTGTGGGGTGGCACTATCCCTCGGGGAGTCAGCCAATGAGGTTCATGCTTAGCGTTTACTGGCTACTTTCTATCCATTTTGGGATGGAAACCATTGGCCGAACAATGAGAATCAAGCCCTGCTAACGATGCCAACCTGGATACAAGGGGATTGTTCACTTGGCTAAATTCCAGGCAGAGAAACCGTCCTCCTGGTTTCAGGACCCGATGGGCTTCCTGGAGCGCCTGCGCGAGAAAAGGAACAAGAGAACACACTCCTCAGCAGGCTCGCTCATTTCCGTGAGGCCGACACAGCGTTAGCTACTGTGGACATTATAAAAGTTATCATTTCCCACCGATCCTTTGTTCATTTTCAGTTGGGGAGCTGTATCAGCAGAAATAATCCTACAACATCCTAAATGTTAAAGGCCTTCTGCTCTCATGAAGAGGACGTTACTTGGAATAATCTAAACTGACTCAGGTTGGTACAACCCCCACGAAGGGCAGCTTTTGAATGATCAAAATCACAATGCATAGCCTCCTTGATCAAGCAATTTTTTTTTCTTTTTTTTTTTATCCTCACTGAGGACATTTTTCTATTTTTTTGTTCAGGTAGAGTGGGAGGGAGAGAGAGGAACAGAGAGAGAGAGAAACATCGATATGAAAGGGACACATCGAGTGGCTGCCACCCACATGACCGACCAGGGCTGGGGATAAACTGCAACCGAGGTACATGCCCTTAGCGGAAACCGAACCCGGGTCTCTCCGGACCGCAGGCCGACGATCTAACCGCTGAGCCAAACCGGCCAGGGCTGATCAAGCAATTTTATGTTAAGTAATCTATCTTACAGAAATGCTTCTGCTATGGAAATGACATGCAGCACAAGATTAGAAGTATCTTAACCATTAATGAGAAAGTGGTTACATTATGGAACCTCTCTCTATATAAAGGGAATCTGGGCAGCTATTGAAAAAAGGAAGAGCTATGTTCCTTATGTTACTGATATGGAAAAATATCCAAAGATATATTTTTGAGGAAAAAAACCAATGGAGCCCTGGACGGTTTGGCTCAGCGGTTAGAGCGTTGGCCTGCGGTCCGGAGAGACCCGGGTTCGGTTCCGCTAAGGGCACGTACCTTGGTTGCAGTTTGTCCCCGGCCCTGGTTGGGTCGTGTGGGTGGCAACCACTCGATGTGTCGCTTTCACGTCGATGTTTCTCTCTCTCTCTCTCCCTCCCACTCTATCTGAACAAAATATCGAAAAATGTCCTCGGGTGAGGATAAAAATAAATAAATAAATAAAAATTAAAAACAAAACAAAACAAAACAAAAAAACAATGGATAAAATGTTTTATGGCCCTGGCTGGTTTGGCTCAGCGGTTAGAGCGTCCGCCTGCGGTCCAGAGACCCGGGTTCGGTTCCCGCTAGGGGCATGTACCTCGGTTTCAGTTTGTCCCCGGCCCTGGTTGGTCATGCGGGTGGCAGCCACTCGATGTGCCCCTTTCGCATCGATGTTTCCCTCTCTCTCTCTTCCTCTCTCTCCCTCCCACTCTGTACAAAAAATGGAAAAGTGTCCTCGGATGAGGATTAAAAAAAAAAAAGTTTTATGTATTAATATTTATATAAAAATATATAAATACATTTAATATGCACAAAACGTCTTTGCAAAGATACACAAGAAATGGTGATTGAAGGGCGAGGAGTCACTGAAGGTTGGGATACAAGGGTTGGGAGGAAGACTTTCACTGATAGACACTTTTGTACCTTTTGAACTTTAAATCTATTCCACTTTTTTTTTTTTTTTTAAGATTCTTAAAATAGTGTTTTAGAGAGTGAGCAAGGGAAAGGGAGAGAGAGAGAGAGAGAAACATCAACATGAGATAAAAACATCCATTAGCTGCCTCATGCACCCCCCTCCGCCCCCCCAGGGATCGAGCCTGCAACCCAGGCATGTGCCCTGACTGGCAATAGAACTGACAACCTTTCGGTGCACAGGGTGATGTCCAACCAACTGAGCCATACCAGCCAGGGCTCCATTTCTTTCTTTTTTTTTTTTTCCCTTTATTAATGCTAGGGAGAGGGAGAGGGAGATAGAAACATCAATGAGAGAGAACATTGACTGGCCGCCTCCGGTATGCCTCCCACTGGGGATCGGGCCCACAACCTGGGCATGTGCCCTGACCGGGAATTGAACCGGCAGCCTCTTGGTGCATGAGTCGATACTCAACCACTGGGCCATACCAGCCGGGCTCCTTCTTTTTAATGAAAAGAAATAAACTGGCTACAGACACAGGACAGGTCACAAAAAACAAGCTAAAGACCACCATGAAGGATGTCCCAACCAGAGCAGAAGAATCAGATAACTGGAGCCCATATTACAGAAAGAAAACTAGTCTTACACATTGTCTTCAAGTGCTTTGGACAGAATGTTAAAGTAGAAATAAAGAAGAGCTGCATCAGATTAAGAACTGAATATTGCTTTCTCTCTATAGAGGCACCATGAGTCTACTAGCTACCTTCTGCCAAAAGTGTCTGAGTGCTTTTTTCTGCATCAAACTCAGAAATGCCTCTGTGCTTCTGTAAACTCACAGGGTCAGATGGCTTCACAAGTGAGAGGAAACAGATGAAATATCAGAGCAAGACTGACAGTCTCAAAGATGTAAATACCAGCCCAAGCAACAAAGGCTTCCATGGGGATCTGCTCTATGGTTTTGGTCCTTATCAATTTTGTGAGTGGGTATATTGGTAACTTAAAGGATTGAGGCCCCTGACTCTGAAACAGTCGTTCCACTCAAGTGCTGAATCCAGAACAGAATCTCTCCACCTTTCTTCATTACTGTGGAGCCAACTCCAGGAGAACTGATACCCTGAGATGCAGCCATTTGTACCAAGCTGAGGAGGCAGCCATTCGTACCTGATCAATGTGTGTGACATTCCGGATCCCAAAGGCAATGGTGTAAACATCAAACTTGTCATCGTCAAAGGGTAGTTCTTCAGCATCTCCTAAAATCCAAGCAAGTCCTGAAAGAGAAAGTTAGTTCTTGTCTCAGTCTGGGTAGCTGTCTCTTCTGCACCCAGCGAACTGTCAAACCTGAGGAGGGGGCCATATATTACAATATATTATTATAATTATTTTATTATCAGTTATTGTTAATCTCTTACTGTGCCTAATTGTAAATTAAATTTTATCATAGGTACGTATATATAGAAAAAACATGGTATGTATATATAGGGTTTGGTGGTTTCTGAGGTTTTCACTGAGGGTCTTAGTACATATCCCCCCACAGATAAAAGGGGACATATAGGAGTGTACATATATTATCATATCCTCATGCCAACTCCATGAGATAGCTGTTACTGTCTTTCAAGTGAGCAAAGTTAATTTTTAATTTTAAGTTTTTAAAAATATTTTTATTGATTTTTAGATAGAGAGGAAGGAAGAGGGAGAGACAGAAACATCAATGAGAGAGAATATTGACTGGCTGCTTCCTGCATGCCCCATACTAGGGATTTGGCCCACAACCTGGGCATGTGCCCTGACTGGGAATCGAACCAGTGACCTCTTGGTGCATGGGTCGACGCTCAACCACTGAGCCACACTGGTCAGGCATCAGGTGAGCAAAGTTTAGTATCAGAAAGGTAAAGTGGCTTGTCCAAGATCACACAGATGGTTTAGAACTCAGGTAGTTTTATCTCAGAGCCTGTGTTTCTAACAGCTATTCTATAGCATACCATCTACTATGAGGTGGTTATTCTTTTTCATAGGTTGAGATCTAGAGAGTTTAAACACTTGTCCAAGGTTACATAGTCAATAAAAAAAGTAATGAATGCATGTAAAATTTTATAAAGAATGTTGTAATTTTGTGTTTTTTGCAAAACCATTAGAAAAAAATGAAAGATCAATTGGCTGTTGGTTATGTAAATTGGTTTTATGAATCATGAAACATCCATCTGGGAAAATATCATAAAAATAATGATTTTAAGAAATTAAAAAAAGCTCTGGCCGGTTTTGTTCAGTGGTGAGAACGTTGGCCCGCGGTCCAGAGAGGCCCGGGTTCAGTTCCCGCTAAGGGCACGTACCTTGGTTGCAGTTTGTCCCTGGCCCTGGTTGGGGCCATGTGGGTGGCGACCAGTTGATGTGTCTCTCTCATCGATGTTTCTCTTCTCTCTTCCTCCTCTCTCTCTCGCTCTATCTGAAGATAAGTGCAAAAATGTCCTAGGGTGAGGATAAAAAAATAATAAAATAAATAAAAAGAAATAAAAAAATTTTTTCTTTATTGATTTTAGAGAGAGAGGAAGGGAGAGGGAAAGAGAGACAGAAACATCGATGAAAGAAACATCAATTGACTACCTCCTGCATGCCCCCCGCTGGGGATTGAGCCCACAACCTGGGCATATGCCTTGACCAGGAATCGAACCTGCGACCTCTTGGTGCATGGGTTGATGCTCAACCACTGAGCCACACTGGTCGGGCTGATTTTAAAAATATTTTAATGATATGGAAAAAATCTCATAATGATGAATTAAGGCAGAATACAAGATGTTCTCAATTTTATAAAAAGGAAATGATTAGGAAAAAGATAGGAAGGAAAATTTTTAAAATACTGAAGAGTGCCTAGCCAGCGTGGCTCAGCAGTTGAGTGTGGACCCATGCACCAAGAGGTTGTTGGTTTGATTTGAGGTCAGGGCACATGCCCAGGTTGTGGGCCTGATCCCCAGTGGGGGGCATGCAGGAGGCGGCCAATCGATGTTCTCTCTCATTAATGTTTCTATCTCTCCCTCTCCCTTCCTCTCTCTCTAAAAAATCAATAAAGAAAAAAAATATTGAAGAGTATCTCTGGATTTTGGAATTATGGGTAACATTTACTTTCTTCTTAATATTTTTCCATAATTTTGAATTTATAAATCCAAAATTTCTCTCAAGAATATCACTTTTAGAATCCAACAAATAATCTAAGGCTGCTGCCCTCCGAGTTTCCTTTGGGGAGAAAGTGCTACAATGAAACGTAAAAAAAACCCATGCCACACATAAACATGCCTTTATTCATTAACTGTTACATTTATCAAATAGTTTCTAGGATCCTCCTACTTAGTTTCAACTATTTTTGCCTGGTATTATTTTGCAAAGGCATTATTAGTGGAGACTGATAAAGCGAGGAGGAAGATAAAGACAATTGTCTTTATGTTTGTCTAAATTGTATTACCTGCAATTTAATGATTTCTGTGCAGGTGGATTTGTCATGGCAGTGAGGAGAGCCTGAAGGGTAAGCTGTGCTATGAAGAGATGATTCCAGAAATGGAACATGACTTATCATTTCTATCTTTGTTCACCATTCTCTCTCTCTCTTTTTTTTTAATCCTCACCCGAGGATATTTTTCCATTTATTTTCAGACAGAGTGGGAGGGAGAGATAGAGAGAGAGAGAGAGAAACATCAATGTGAGGGAGACACATTAATTGGCTGCCTCTTGCACGACCCCGACCAGGGCTGCGGGCTGAACCGCAACCGAGGTACGTGCCCTTCACCAGAATTGAACCCGCGACTCTTTGGTCCGTGGGCCTACGCTCTAACTTCTGAGCCAAATTGGCCAAGGCATTTGTTCACCCTTCTTTATGGCTGAGTACCAGAGAGAAGGGAAACACGTTTTTCAGTAGGAGTAAGGAAACATAGTGCCTTTGTCTAAAAACACTAGTGACTGTCTGCCTTCTGGTCAGTGTTGATGGTTAACAAAAGAGCCCTTCATCTTGGGGGCCAAGTGGGCTGCCTGGGTATAGGCAGCTGTTCTGAGGGTGGGAGGAGGAGGAGGAAGAACTGAGCTAAAATAACCACAGACACTCCTGGTGGGGGAGGGAAGGAGAGAAGTGCTGATGCGGACCTGAGGGACTTGGTTTTCTTTGTTGTACACCACTGCCTTCCACAGTGGCGGCCTGCAGTGCGTGGCCCGCAAGGGAGAGGGCAGAGCAGCGGCTCCGAAAGGCTGGGGAACATGGTACGGCTGCTAGGGTCATTACTTCTACTTGAAAACCAAATTTAAAATGTACATTTTTTTTTTTTCCTCAACAGACTGAGATAGATGCTTTTAAAATGTACATCTTGCCCTGGCCAGTTTGGCTCGGCGGTTGGAGCATCGGCCTGCAGACCAGAGAGTCCCGGGTTCAGTTCCTGCTAGGGGCACATACCAAAAAAAAAAAAATGTACATCTTGCCCTTGCCAGTTTGGGTCAGTGGTTAGAGCGTCAGCCTGCGGACGGGAGAGTCCCAGGTTCAGTTCCCATTAAGGGCACATACCTCGGTTGCAGTTTGTCCCTGGCCCTGGTTGGGTTCATGCAGATGGCAACCAGTCAATGTGTGTCTCCCTCATATTGATGTTTTTCTCTCTCTCTTCCTCCCTTCCCCCCCCCCCCCCCCACTGTATCTGAAGATAAGATAAATGCAAAAATGTCCTCGGGTGAGGATTTAAAAAAAAAAAGTACATCTTTAAGTTAGGCCACAAATTGTTTGTTTGGTGGTTGCAGTGGCTTCCTGGAGATACGCAGTCACTCTCCTATCTGTTGTCGAGAGTACTGTGGTTTAGGAATACAGTAAGTGCTCACTTAACATCGTCAATAGGTTCTAGGAAACTACAACTTTAAGTGAAATGATGGATAACGAAACCAATTTAACCATAGGCTAATCGATATAAACAAGAGTTAAGTTCCTACAGCATCTTTCTTTCTGGTCACAAAAGCATCACCCAACTTCTAAAAAAAGACTCAATACCTTTCTAATATTAAACACTGAAATAAATGTGAGCTAGAGATACATTTAAGGAAGATAATAAAAACAAATCTGATAATTTTCCACCCAATCATTCCAATTCAGGTTGCAGGTGGCCGGAGCCTCCCCCAGCAGCTCAGGTTGAAAGGGAAAACTAAGCCTGGACAGGACACCCTTCCGTCCCAGGGCGCACTCACACACCCCCACACCCACTCAGGTCGGAACAATTTATACAGGCCTATTCACCTCACGTGCACAGCTTTGAGATGTGGGAGGAACGGAGTACCCGCAGAAAACCCACACAGACATAGGGAGAACATGCCAACTGTACACAGACAGCGGCCATAGCCAGGAATAAAAAATGTTTTTCTCAGCCACGTTATAACAAAACGACATTGAACAGAAAATAACGTCATTCTAGGACCTGCTGTACTGTTTGCAGGTGTTTCTTCAACTGTACCAGTTGGGCCTTCTGAGAAACTGATGCTGAGATGGACTGCAAAGGGTTCTGTTTTTTGTTTTTTTCGGGGGGTGGGCAGGGCACCTGGGAAAGTTAAAAGAGGAAACAAGAATGGGTAGGGAAACCTGTTAGACCTTGATGCAGATCAGATCCAGGGGGCACTGGAGCAAAGACTACCTGTTAAGAGTCCTGTCTGGACCCTGGCCGGTTTGGCTCAGTGGTAGAGGGTTGCGCCATGGACCACTGAGTCACAGGTTCGATTCTGGCCAAGGGCACGTACCTCGACTGCAGTTCAGTCCCCAGCCCTGGTCAGGGTCGTGCAGGAGGCAACCAGTCAGTGTGTCCCTCTCATGTCAATGTTTCTCTCTCTCCCCCTCTCGCTATGCTTCCCACTCTATCTGAAGATAAATAGAAAAAAATATCCTCGGGTGAGGATAAAAAAAAAGAGTCCCACGTGGGAACTGTCCAGACCCTAGCAGCCACCCCCTTGCTCAGCCATCAGCTGGGTGCTGCCAGGAAAGAGCCCGGCTGGAGAGCTGAGGCAGTGCCTGCAGGTGCTAAGAGGCAGAGGCTGGCAGCTAACTACACTGCTGTGGCTGAAGGCAAGTCTCTTCTGTAAGCGCAGTGCACCTTCTCGGCCTCCACAGCAATCAAACCATCCTAGCACTTCCAGGAGAATGGAGTGGCTCAAGAATAGGATATTTAGGGTCATCAGGGAGGCACTGGGAATTGAAAGTAAAAGTTCTGTCCAGGAGCTGAGATCCAAAGATTCAGCTCCAACTCGAGATCTGCCATTTAAGTTGTGTTACTTGAAAAAGATACATATCCTTTTTGGGCTTTGGTCATCTCCCCTGTCACATAGGGCTGATTATCTAACTCCCTGGGTTGCTGAAATAATATACATGAAACAACACAAACTGGATTCACCCGCACAAATTATTTTCAACTCCTACCTAGCTATAAGTTTTTGAAAGCAGGAAAATAAAGCACTTCAACATTTCCCATGTTCTATCTTATTTTGTAAACATATAAACATTTCCTCTGTGTCTACTTCCTACAAGACTTGCCAGTTTTGTATCCTCGAGCACAGGCTTTCTGCCTTCCAATCTTCAGCATTTCCTTATTGATGTCACAGACCATGACTTGCGAACCGCCCAAGGAATCCTCTTCATTCTGATACTTCTGGGCAATTTCTTCCCAGGATAAATTTTGCTGGGCCCTTAGCTGCCTCTTCTGCTTTATCTGATGCTGGCCCTGAACATAATTAAGGAACCGGAATGCAATGTCACCTGTGGGAAGCCAACAGGAGAAAAGATGGAAACATAAAAACAGTAATGGTTATTTTTAACCTCTAAGATTCTTTAGAAAACTTTATAAAAGATTCAACATCTCAATATATAGAATAAAACATGAAAGTTGCCTTCTCTGTCCATACCTTCCCCAGACATAACAAGTATTAAGAATTTAGTATAGCCCTGGCCGGTTTGGCTCAGCAGTTAGAGCATTGGCCTACGGTCCAGAGGGACCCAGGTTCGGTTCCCACTAAGGGCACGTACCTCAATTGCAGTTTGTCCCCGGCCCTGGTTGGTTGTGTGGGTGGCAGCCACTCGATGTGTCCCTTTCACGTCGATGTTTCTCTCTCTCTCTTCCTCTCTCCCCCTCCCCCTCTAGCTGAACAAAAAATGGGAAAATGTCCTCGGGTGAGGATAAAAAATAAAAAGAATTTACTGTACAGCCTTCTAGTCTTTTTCTAGTAATTTTTAAGTATTCAAAAAAAATCTTTTTTTCTTTATTGATTTTTAGACAGAGAGAAAGGGAAAGGGAGAGAGACAGAAACACTGATGAGAGAGAACATCGAATGGCCACCTCCTGCATGACCCCCACTGGGGATTTGGCCCACAACCTGGGCATGTGCCCTGACCGGGAATCGAACCGGTGATCTCTTGGTGCATGGGTCAATGCTCAACCACTAAGCCATACTGGCTGGGCAATAATTTTTAATTATTTTTTTTAATTAATTTTTTAGAGAGAGAGGAAGGGAAAGAGAGGTAGAAACATCAATGTGAAAGAGAAACATCGATCAGCTGCCTCCTGCATGCCCCAAACCAGAAAGCCCGCAACCCGGGCATGTGCCCTGACCGGGAATAGAACCGGGACCTCTCAGTCCATGAGACGACATTCAATCCAATGAGTCACACCAGCCCAGCTCATTACCTTTTCTAAATGGGCATTGTCAGCATGAAGTAATGCTACTGGTTATGGTACACTGGAGATGTAGGCAGCTGTGACTGGACCCCTCCTTGTAGCTTTTTCTTGCCAGTTTTGTTTTCTTTTTTTTTTTAGACTTGAGATCTAGCCCTGGCCAGTTTGGCCTGCGGTCCAGAGAGACCCGGGTTCGGTTCCCGCTAAGGGCACGTACCTTGGTTGCAGTTTGTCCCCGGCCCTGGCTGGGTCGTGCGGGTGGCAGCCACTCGATGTGTCCCTTTCACGTCGATGTTTCTCTCTCTCTTCCTCTCTCTCCCTCCTGCTATATCTGAACAAAAAATGGAAAAATGTCCTCGGGTGAGGATGAAAAAATAAATAAATAATAGACTTGAGATCTAGAACTAGAATTGTGGGATCCTACTATAAACATTTTAGATTTTGATTGATTCTGCTAAAGTGTTTGTCCTCCACTGAGCAGGATTTTTTTTTTTACTGGCTTCTAAGATTCCATTTGGGGAGAGGACCCTACCAATAAAGCCACACTGAATTCACAATGCAGAGTACTAACCACTATATGATCATGGCAAGCCACACTGATTTCAATCGTGGAAATTATTCTACTATAATTTACTATACATTATTCTGTTGGTATACATAATAACATTATTGCATTATATTATATTTCACTGTGATGTAATTAAACTTGTACATTAACCATGTAATGATATCACCAAGATGCATGTTAGAAACCCTATATTTTTTCCCCAAATGTCTAGTGTGCACTGAGTAACAAAGGAGCACGCATAAACAATTGAGCTCTTGATATCTGATGTGACAATGGATTAAGCAGAAAAGACTGCCTGGAAAACTATGTACTATGAGAGAAGGCATCCCCCCGCCACCCAGAAAGAGGGAAAGTGGGTCAAAGGTTAAACAAAAGGTAAAAGTCATTTAGATGGTGAAATGTCCTGGAGTAAAAAACTGGTCTTTTTACTTTGTAATCCTGTGCATTTTAGAAAAGTGACAGGCACAAAGCTGATGTTCTATGTTTTTGATTGACATTCAGTTAAAAGGAAAAGAGAAAACCTTTCTTAGAAGTATACTGATTTTCAACTACCATCTTCAGGCTAATGGTAGGTAAGGCAGCTCATTCTAACAAGAGACACTAATTTCTGTAAAAGGTGGTCAGTGGTACCTGAGGATACCAGCATGGATATTACCTGTGCCGCCAGCAACATCAAGTAGCTGGGTCCCAGGAAATGGGTGCATTTTCCAGAGCAGCAGATCCTTCCAAATACGATGGATACCAAGACTCATCATATCATTCATCACATCATAATTCTTGGCCACACTTTCAAACACCTGATAGACTGACATGGGAGAAACACAACATGACTGTGTTACTGACAAAATTAACTTGGAAAAATCCTAAGTGAAAGGGAAGGAAGCTTGCTTTTTCTTCCTGAAATTGCCTCTTTCCAAGGTGAACCTGAGGCATAATGCTTAATGCCCAAATATACAACTTAACATGATCTCTTTTTTTTTTTTATCCTCACCCAAGGACATTTTTTCCATTTTTTGTACAGATAGAGTGGGAGGGAGGGAGAGAGAGGAAGAGAGAGAGAGGGAAACATCGATGTGAAAGGGACACATCGAGTGGCTGCCTCCCGCACGACCAACCAGGGCCGGGGACAAACTGCAACCGAGGTACATGCCCTTAGCGGGAACCGAACCCGGGTCTCTCTGGACTGCAGGCGGACGCTCTAACTGCTGAGCCAAACCGGCCAGGGCTAACATGATCTCTTTTAAAAAGGTTTATATTAGTTTTTTTTTGCAATGGGTTTGCCACCAGAACACAGGTGTCATGAAAACCACCTCTAAATCAAACCCAAAATGGAAAAAGAAAAGATTCCTATCAACATCGTTGTAACTAGACATGTAGATTCCGGCAAGTCTACCACTACTGGTTATCTGACCTACAAATGTGGTGGGATCGACAAAAGAACCATCAAAAAATTTGAGAAGGAGGATGCCGAGATGGGGAGGGGCTCCTTCGGGTATGCCTGAGTCTTGGATAAACTGAAAACTGACCGTGAACGAGGTATCACCATTGATATTGCCCTGTGGAAATTCGAGACCAGCAAATATTATGTGACCATCATTGATACCCCAGGACAGAGACTTCATCAAAAACATGATTACAGGCACATCTCAGGCTGACTGTGCTGTCCCGATAGTTGCTGCTGGTATTGGTGAATTTGAAGCAGGCATCTCCAAGAATGGGCAGACCGTGAGCATGCCCTTCTGGCTTACACACTGAGTATGCAACAACTGATTGTTGGTGTTAACAAAATGGATTCCACTGAGCCGCCCTACAGCCAGGAGAGACATGAGGAAATCGTTAAAGTCAGCACCCACATTAAGAAATTGGCTACACCCTGACACAGTAGCATTTGTGCCAATTTTTGGTTGGAAAGGTGACAGTATGCTAGAGCCAAGTACTAATATGTCTTGGTTCAAGGGATGGAAAGTCACCCGTAAAGATGCCAATGCCAGTGGAACCACACTGCTTGAAACTCTGGATTGCATCCTGCCACCAACTTGTCCAACTGACAAACCCCTGCGTCTGCCCCTCCAGGATGTCTACAAAATTGGTGGCATCAGTACTGTCCCTGCGGGTGGAGTGGAGGCTCATGTTCTCAAACTCAGCATGGTGGTAACCTTTGCTCCAATGTTACAACTGAAGTAAAGTCTGATGAAATGCACCACGAAGTTTTGAGTGAAGCTCTTCTTGAGGACAATGTGGGCTTCAATGTCAAGAATATGTCTGTCAAAGATGTTTGTCGTGGCAATGTGGCTGGTGACAGCAAAAATGACCCACCAGTGGAAGCAGCTGACAATCAATCTTCTTCTTCAGCTCAGCAAATCTGCAAGCAGTATGAGCTGTGTGACAATCCAGCACAGGCGCATAGCCAGCTCATACTGCTTGCAAATTTGCTGAGCTGAAGAAGATTGACTGGCGTTCTGGGGAAAAGCTGGAAGATGGCCCTAAGTTTTGGAAACCTGTGAATGCTGCCATCATCAATATGGTTCTTGGCAAGCCCATGTGTGTTGTGAGCTTCTCTGACAATCCTCCTCTGGGCTACTTTGCTGTTTATAACATGAAACAGACAGTTGCTGTGGGTGTCATCAAAGCAGTGGACAAGAAGGCAGCTGGAGCTGGCAAAGTCACCAAGTCTGCCCAGAAAGCTCAGATGGCTAAATGAATGTTATCCCCAATGCCTGCCACCCCAGTCTTTTTTTTAAAATTCTTTTGATTTTTTTTTTTTTTTAGAGAGAGAGGAAAGAAGAGAGAGAGAGAAACATGGGTAAGAGAGAACATCAATTGGCCTCCTCCTGCATGCCCCGCACTGGGGATCAGGCCCACAATCTGGGCATTTGCCCTGACCAGGAATCAAACCGGTGACTTCTTGGTGCATGGGTTGACGCTCAACCACTGAACCACACTGGCCAGACCACCACCCCAGTCTTAATCAGTGGTGGAAGAATGGTCTCAGAACTGTTTGTCTCAATTAGCCATTTAAGTTTAATAGTAAAAGACTGGTTAATGATTACAATGCACCGTAAAACCTTTAGATCAGTGGTTCTCAACCTTTCTAATGCCGCAGCCCTTTAATACAGTTCCTCATGTTGTCTGTGGGCATATCTGCATGCGGGCAGACCAGCCTGGAGACGAATAGGGGAGCGGTGTTTTCTGATGGTCTTAGGCGACCCCTGTGAAAGGGTCATTCGACCTGCAAAGGGGTCGCAACCCACAGGTTGAGAACTGTTGCCTTAGATGGAAAGGAAAATGTTTTGTGGACCATTTGGTTTTGTGTGTGTGTAGCAGTTTTTAAGTTATTAGTTTTTAAAATCAGTATTTTTTTAATGGAAACAACTTGACCAAAAATCTGTCACAGAATTTTGAGACACATTAAAACAGAGTTTAATGAGGAAAAAAAAGGTTCGTATTACTTCATATGAAAAAGCCACCGCCTCTTTTCTATGGTCTTAGTTATCTTTAGACCATTACTTTGTAATCATACCATGCACATACTTGGTACTAAATAGGTTCCTGTTTCTTAAAGGACGAGGGTGGTGGTAGAGTTTTTTCTACTGGTTATTATAATAAAAGACAACAAAATCCATTAGAGAGATACATGACTAAGGGATGGGAAAACCTCAGGTCATCTCTGCCTGTATCACTGAGAGAAACCTCAGGTACAATTTGGTGAACAGATGGATGGCAAGATGTGAATGAAGCTCAAGTTACACTGTAGAGCAGCGGTTCTCAACCTGTAGGTCACGACCCCCTTGGGGGTCGAACAACCCTTTCGCAGGGGTCGCCTAAAACATAACAGTAGCAAAATTACAGTTATGGAGTAGCAACAAAAATAACTTTACGGTTGGGGGTCACCACAACATGAGAAACTGTATTAAAGGGTCACGGCATTAGGAAGGTTGAGAACCACCGCTATTGAGGGTCCTATTAATCATCTCCATAGGATCAAGGCAGAATGTGGAATCTGGGCTAGCTGGAAAGAGAAGGTGTTTACTATCTAAGACACTTTAAGGCACACAGGCTACATTTAATTTCTTTGCACCTCAGTTTCTTTGCCCATAAGATAAAAAAATCAGTACCAGTGCCCTACCTCCCTGCCATAAGGCGACCTCTTGGTGCATGGGTCAATGCTCAACCACTGAACCACCCCAGCTGGGCTGTTCAATAATTTTTAAAGGTCCTGAAATAATTATAATTTTCCCCATTGATTATCAAGATCATTGCTCTGGCCGGTTTGGCTCAGCGGTTGGAGCCTCGGCCTGTGGACCAGAAAGTCTCAGGTTCGGTTTCCGCTAGGGGCACGTACCAAAAAACAAAAAGAGATCATTGTGCATGATTTCAACTTGCATGGTCATTTTTACCATCCTGCATACTCTGTAAAGGGAAGACTGCCTGTATTTCAATCTTGGATCTCAAATCTGGAAGCTGTATTTAGCTCAGTGGGTAAGTCTTCCCCTCCTGTCATTGAGTGAAATGTTTATGTATTGTAAAGCAAAATACAGAGGTTAGACGTTATTAATGTTTTGAAAGCAACCCACCTGATTCAAATGCCAGCTCTGCTGCTTACTAGCCAATCTCGGGCAAGTGACTTAATATCTGTTTCAACAGTTACTTCATCTATAAAACCAGGCTAATAGTTCCTTCCTCTTTGGGTTCTATTTATAAGAATTTATGTAAAGTATATATTTTTTTAATCCTCACCCGAGGACATTTTTCCATTTTTTGTTCAGATAGAGTGGGGGGGAGGGGAGAGATAAAAACATCGACGTGCAAGGGACACATCAAGTGGCTGCCACCTGCACGACCAACTGGGGCCAGGGACAAACTGTAACCGCGGTACGCGCCCTTAACGGGAACCGAACCCGGGTCTCTCTGGACCGCAGGCCGATGCTCTAACCGCTGAGCCAAACCGGCCAGGGCTGTAAAGTGTTTTTAAAGGTTTTAGGCTCTCAATAAATGTTCACTATTGTTTTAGTTGGCTCTACTTATTTCACTCCACAAGCAGTTATAAAACTAATGTGCATCAGGCACTGAGGATTTAGACATGAACGGGCCACTGTCCTAGCTTTATGGGGATTCATACTGAAATAAGTGTTAATTTAAATTCAATATTCAAAGAGTTACAGTAGAGCTACACATTTAGTAAAGTTAAGGTGAGAGGTAATACACTGTAGTAGTCTTTAAGAGGATGGGAAGTTCCATTGTGGACTCTTTTCCTTATTTCCTGGGTGACCATAGTCTGAGTGAAGGAACCTCTCAGAGCCTCACCTTATCCATCTGTAAAATGGGCACAATACCTTCACCGTTATAAATGAAGTTTTAAAACTGTTCTCTTCTTTTCCCATGCCTGTGGCACAGTGCTGGACTCAAAGAAACTGCTCGTATTTAATGAACAATTACGAAATCTCAGGCATTGTTCAAAATACTTTAAAACGTGTAACATGGGGAAAACAGCTGAAATAAAAATCGGAAATGTCTGCACGGTGCCTGGCACACGATACACGCCAAATTGATGGGATTTAGTGGTAATTGCTCTGCTGAAAAAGAGGAGGCGCCCAAGCTCTGCAGGGTCAGGCTCCGGGGGAGCTCCTTGTCCGTCAGGATTGCACAAGCTACAGCAACGGAGCTAATGTAACAGGACGTTAAATCAACGCTTAGCAGAAGAGACTAGATCGCAGACGGTCAGACCCCTCCCTCCGCCCTCTCGCCCCTTTTACCTTTGCCTCCCTTCTCCTCTTCCGACACAGTTTCAAACCCGAAGTGCGTTTTCGTTGCCTGGTTCTGTTGGGACAAAAGCCGCGCACCCAGGGGATTCCCCGGCCAGGAGCTACGAAGCCGGGGGAGCCAGCAGCCTCGCATCACCCGCGACCACCTACGGCCGTAATAGTCCCATAGAGCGCAACTCCTGGGGGCCGCCATGTTGACAGTTGGGTGCCAGTAGCCAGACAATACGTCACGTTGCATCACCAGACGGCCGACGGCGGCCGGCCGGAGACAATATTAGCCGAACGCGTCCTGAAACCTGATATTAAGCAGTTATGCATGATCTCTGGGATCCAGAGTCTAGTCTTTGAGTATCCGAAGTCCCTTCTTTTTCTTCCCAAATTGAACACAGAATTCACCAGGAATGATCGGACCTTAGGGGGAGCCCCCAATCACCTCTCAGTGGCCTCGTCTCTGAATCTTGCCAGCCAGGAGTACCAGTACCAACTCTCAAGATAGCCAATAAATAAGTCTTGTTTTCTGTTAAAGAAGGTGGAGAATTGAGGAACAGGGTGTTAAAAGGCTAAGATTACAGGTCAATTCTCGCAAACGTTTGTGCGCGTAAGAATCATCTGGTTTGATCTTTAAAATGAAGATACCAGGCCTCAAATACTAGAGATTTTGAATCAGTAAATCTCATATGGTTTCTGGGAATCTTTATTTGACCAAACTTTTCCAGTAATTCTGATGCAGGGAATTCGCAGACAATTGGTAAGAAACGTATGCTAGACTATTCTGAAAAGTAAATATCGGAAAGAAATGGGCAAAAGCTCTGGTATCTATTTAGCAAGTCAGAACAAATCACCATTCACACTTCCCCTCCTGCTGTTACACAGCTACATTTCTAGCTAAGTTTCCAGATTTTCCTGTTCTTTGCTTTTTATGGAAAGGGTAACATTGACCATCTTGCGCAAGAGGATGGAGGTGGTTTGATTCTCTTTTTAAATGTATGTTTCCTGTAAATATTTCACAAGGAGAAAGCGCCAAGGACCCTAAGAAACTATTTTGAAAATGAAAATTTTATTTCTGGTTTAATGTAGACTGACAGATGGACACTTACCACTTTGTTTTGGAAGAACTACACTGAAATTTCTCTTTCCCTCTCTTTTGTCTTTATGTGTGATAGAAGGAATGACTCATCCATGTAATTAGAGTTCTCACATCTTTGTTAAGGGAAATACAAATGCATCAAAGAATTTTAGTGTATCTTCCAAATCTAGTCATGCATGACAATGGACCTCAGGATTTGAGGCTGTTTCTTCTAAATATCAAATTAAGTTTCCAGACCAACATTATGTAGCTATTTTCTCATTTCAATATGACCTGTGGGCAGGGCTGGTGACTGGATAAGGTGAACCAAGATGAGGATAGGTGGAGGGCATTTTAAAGAAATTAAAAAATATGAGATTAGTATCTAATTTCCTTTGTCCCCGTTAAAACAGATCATTTCAGTAAATTGATTGGCTTATATTTCTTATTAATGTTTTGTCTAACACGTGATGATTGATAAGGAGCCAAAAAGAGCCCAATTACGAAAATTCTAGGATTTTGTCTATTTATTTGTTTGTTAATATTTGACTGCTAAAATTCCATTCATCCTTCTATGCTCAGCTCAAGTGATACCACCTCTGGGAAGTCTTCTTTTACTCCTCTCAACTATTTGTACTTCTCTCCTTGGAGTTTCTGCTGTGGTTAGCATTTTGTGTTAACTTTATTATAACCCTTATCACAATCTTCCATTGTAGTTTTTTTTTTTTCCCCTTGTGAATGATACTGTATTTAGTCATTTTCGTTTACAACTGCAACTCTGGGAATTCAAAATTAAGGTCCTCATCCATGAACTGTGTGTGTGTGTGTGTGTGTGTGTGTGTGCCCCTAGTGGGAACCGAACCCGGGACTCTCTGGTCCGCAGGCCGATGCTCCAACCACTGAGCCAAACTGGCCAGGGCCCATGAACTTCTTATAGACACCAGAAATAATTTCAACCTCGTGCTCCATATTGTTCTGCAGTGCTTTATTTAAGTGAACTTTTATGAGCTGGCTGCCATCCAGTTTTACCAGGATTGTCATGCAGCTCCTGGGATGCTTTTGCTTATTTTCTGTAGGCTTTTTCAAATTAACTTAGGGATCTCTGAGCAAAAAAGACAACGTGCGCCTTGGCCAATTAGGCTCTGCGGTTAGAGTGTCAGCCCATGAACCAATGAGTCATGGGTTGATCCCAGACAAGGGCATGAACCTCTGTTGCTGATTGTCCTGGGCCCTGGTCGGGTTGTGCAGGAGGCAACCAGTCCATGTAAGAGACACAGGATGTTTTTCTCTCCCTCTCCCTCTCCCTCTTTCCCACTCTATCTGATGATAAATAGAAAAATATCCTCAGGTAAGAATTAAAAAAAAAAAAGATAATACAACTTGTTTCCCACTTTTTTTTTTTTCTTTTCCTGATTCATGTAGTAGCCTGACTTGGATTTTCTGGAAAGATTTCAGTTGAGTAATGGGAACAAAGATTATAATAGCTTTCCAACCACCACCAACTTCAGTTTCTTTGGCAGCTGGTATAGTCAGTTCCCTTAGCTGGGCCTTGAAGTGGGAGTTCATTTCCAGCTCAAGGAGAGCCTGTGAGATGCCAGACTCCAACTCATCCAGCTTCTCGCCATTGGGCTTTGTGATCTTTGGGCTCCAACTGAACATGGCTTTCTCCTTGCTGAGCGCTGGCCTAGCCAATGTAGTTGATTTGCTTAACAAACTTAGGAAACTAGGTATATATTAAATGCCTCAATTTTAATGTAGTTTGGCATTCTGTGTGCTCAGCACAGTGCCTGACATACAACAGGTTTCTAATTAGCTAAGTTTAGTCTGAGGATAATTATTTGTTGATCTCTTTTTATTTTATTTTTTTCAGTATTGATTTTAGAGAGAGAGGAAAGGAAAGGAAAGGGGGAGAGAGATAGAAACATTGATGAGAGGCCCAGCCGGTGTAGCTCAATGGTTGAGTGTCGACCCATGAACTAAGAGGTTGCCAGTTCAGTTCCCGGTCATGGCACATGTCCAGGTTGTGTACTCAATCCCCAGTGGGGGGCATGCAGGAGGCGGCCAATCAATGCTTTCTCTCATCGATGTTTCCATCTCTCTCTCCCTCTCTCTTCCCCTCTCTCTAAAATCAATAAAGGAAAAAAGAAAAAAAAAAGAAACACTGATGAGAGAGAACATTGATTGGCCTCCTCCTGCACTAGTGATCAGGCCCACAACCTGGGCATGTGCCCTGACCAGAAATCAAACCAGTGACCTCTTGGTGCATGGGTCCACGCTCAACCTCTGAGACACACTGGTTGGGTTATTTGTTGGTTTATTTAATAGTGTGTTTATGTGCTCCTTTGACAGGCAGGGATACTAACCACTATACTAATGAGGATGAGCTCTTATGTGTTTCTTTGAATCTCAAACTGCTGTGATTTGAGGACATCATTTATAATTTTCCCAAGTACAGATGGGTGTGATGTGCTTTCAAAAATACATATGTGGCCCTGGCCAGTTTGGCTCAGCGGTTGGAGCGTCGGCCTGTGGTCCAGAGAGACCCAGGTTCGGTTCCCGCTAAGGGCGCATACCTCAGTTGCAGTTTGTCCCCGGCCCTGGTTGGGTTGTGTGGGTGGCAGCCACTCGATGTGTCCCTTTCACGTCGATGTTTCTCTCTCTCTCCCTCCCTCCCACTCCATCTGAACAAAAAATGGAAAAACGTCCTCAGGTGAGGATAAAAAAAAAACAACATAATGTGATTATGGGTAAATGATCTAAGCTTTCCCCCCCCCTTTTCCCCCTTTTAATCCTTACCCGAGGATATGTTTCCTGTTGATTTTAGAGAGAGAAGAAGAGGGAGACAGAGAGAGAAACATTGATGTGAGAAAGAAACATTCATGGGTTGCCTCCCATAAGTGCTCCTTGGGATGGATGAGCAACCTGGGTATGTGCCCTAACCTGAATCAAACTGAGCCACACCGGCCAGGGCAGTGATCTAAGCATTTTAAGCCCAGTACCTTGTCTTTAAATTCAAGTTATTGTTGTCCAGTTGGTGTGGCTCATTAGTTGAGTGTGACCCATGCCCCAAGAGGTTACTGGTTCGATTCCCAGTCAGGACACATGCCCAGGTTGTGGGCCCGATCCCCAGTGTGGGGCATGCAGGTGGTGGCCAATCAATGTTCTCTCTCATCGATGTTTCTATCTCTCTCTCCCTCTCCTTCCTCTCTAAAATCAATAAAAGAAGAAAATAAAGCTTAAAAAAAAGGAGGGATTGATGTAGAGGCTTTGCCCTTCTCTCTCTCTCTCTCTCTCTCTCTCTCTCTCTCTCACACACACACACACACACACACAAATAAATAAAATAAATAAAGGAAAAAAAATTTTTTTGAGTTATTGTGAGGATTGCGATAATCTGTATAAACTGCACAGCATAGTGCCTGCTAACAATAAGCACTAAATGACGATTATTAATGAAATGAAGTATTGTATGAAGAAGTGCTGTAAAGTGATATTAAATGTAAGGTTTTACCATTATTGTTGCTACTATTGCTATTATTAGGAGCTAAAATGAGCCATGAATAAATGATATTAACTCTAGTATAAGACTATAATGAATCAAAAAAGAAATTCCACAGGTACTCTGTTCGGATGGGTTATTAGTAGGAGTGGACGGCGTATTTTTATTATACAAACAACAATAGCGTGTTAATACTAAAATCTGGACTACAAGTCCCATCATCCTGTACACCCTCAAACACTGAGGAGGTTGGGAAGAAAAAAAAAAAAATCACTGGACCCGGATGAGGGCCGAGAACCACATTTCCCAGAGTGCTTCACTTCCACATCGCCACTGTATATATAGTCCATCCGGGTTCTTTGAGGTGCTGTTGGCGACTCGTCGCCATTCCAGGAGCAGCTCGGCCTCGGCCCAGAGGCGAGTGTCGGTCGCTGTGTCGGAGACACCCGTCCCCGGCACCAAGACAGCCAGCCCTCTCCCCTGCCCCGCGGCGGGAGAGCGTATCCGGCCGGCCGGCGGGGCTCGCGCACCTTCCCTCGCCTCCCTTTTCCCCCGCAGCCTCCGCCCCGCCAGGCCCGGCCCGGACCTCCGAGCCCCGGCCTCCTCCTCCGTCTCGGTCACTGCCGCCGCCGGGCTCGACAGCCCCTCCGCCGCTTCTCCTTCTAATTTGAGAAGCCGAGTAAGGAAACAGGGAAAAATGTCGCCATGAAGGCCGAGAACCACTGCCGCCGCCGACCCCCGCCGGCCCCGAACGCCATGAGCCTGGGTCCCTGCCGCGCCCGCTCTGCTCCGACCGCCGCCGCCGCCGAGGCCCCCGTTGATGCCGCAGAGCTCCCCCAGCGCCGCCGCCACCGCCTCCGACATGGACAAGAACAGCGGTTCCAGCAGCAACTCTGCCTCTTCGGGCAGCAGCAAAGGGCAACAGCCGCCCCGCTCCGCCTCAGCCGGGCCGGCCGGCGAGTCTAAACCCAAGAGCGGTAAGCGCGGGCCGCGGTGCTGGGGGCTCGGGACGCGGGGGGCGGGTCCTCCCGCTCTCCCCTGCGGGGTCACACCCAGCGACGAGCTCCGCTTTCTGCTCGAGTTCCTACCTTTCTCCCCTTGCCCGTGGTTCCCATTACGTGAACTCTTAATGAGCCCTGAACTGCGGGCGTTACCTGAATCCTTGCCTTAATCCTCGAAACGGCTCGTGGAGTAGGTGCTGCTGCTCTTCATTCCCATTTTGTTTATGAGGAAACGGCGGTTCAGAAAAGCTAGGGTCGCCTAGCCAGTAGGTGCCTCCCAGCAGGCCTTAATACCTAGATGTCTGACTCATCAGTTCGCGCTCTTAAAAAACACGAAGTTGTTCTACCCTTTAACGTCGAGTTAGCTTTGGATAGTGTTCAAGTTTAAACAGGGGAGGGTGGTGCCCGAAGACTTTTCAAACTCAAATCTTATGTTTAATAACCTGGCCTCGGAACCATCCCACTCTGGAAGAGGACTCGTCCTTGAATGGCTTTGTTCAGTCTGGAGTCGTGTTTAAGAGCACAGGTTCAGGATTCATTCAGCCTTTTTAGGTTCGCCAGACGTTGAGTGAGTGTCTGAATGTCCTTACCTGTAAAGGTGGAGACAATGAGAAGTAAATTAACTTAGAAAACGGATGAACTAAGGGTTCAGGAGCGTACCTGACACCAAGTACATATCATGCCTCTTTCCCTTTGTTAGGCTCCAGTTTCGTGTTTTTACAGGGAAGATTTTGTCGTTTCTGTAGTTATGCCTCCATATTAAATCACGACCATGATGATGATAGATACCATTTATTGAGGACTCACCATGTGCTAGGTACTGGGCTACCTTTGTTGTGGATAACTTGGGTCACTAACCTCTCCAACAAAGTGGGATTTTCACCTAAAGAAGAAAAAAAGTTGGGAGGCCAGGAGTTTAGGAGTTGGCAAGACTGGAGTTGTAATCTCTGCTCTTTTGTATTGTGATTATATTAGTAGCACTAGGAAGATGTTTTCAGTGGGAAAAGGTGTCACAGAGGGGAACTTTTGGAGTCCAGTTGTTTAAAACTTTAAGATTGAAAAAGAAAAAACCATCTGCAAGACTGACTTCAGTTCTGAGTTTACCTGCTGGATATAGCAAACTTGTTTACCTGGGGTGCTGAAGACTTCTAGAGACTGCTTAGGGAACTCAAGTGGAGACCAGTTGTCAAAATAACAAGGGACTGCTTTAAATATCTAAGCAGGGATTAGTGTGGATTTTCAGGCCCCATCATGCAGTATTATGTAGACGAATTTTGGGGTTTTGCACATATATAGATAGCTTTATCACAGATCCCTTTAGAGAGAGAGGGTAGCCAGTCCTTCTGGCCAGTGTTGGAATTAGAGTGGCCTGAATTAATATTTCTTAGTGTAAGTAATCTGGTTTTGTACACTATTCCCAGATGTGAAGTTAAAGATTTTGACTCTCCAGCTATCTGAATTTTCAACTAATTTTTCTGGAGCTCCTCTTAAAGCCATTAACATAAGTGAGCCAGCAGCAATAAATACCTTAAAGTTTATTCTTTAGTGAAGCAGTAGGTAAAAGTTTGCAACAACCGAAGCAAAGTAAAACAACAGCAAAACTGAGGTGTTTAAGGCGTTTTACTCATATTGTACCTGACTTTGAATATGTTAATTAGTAGAACTACGATTACCCCACAGGATGATATAGAATTCTGTTGTAGTGTGACCATAGCAAATATTTGTCAGTGTTAACATTTCAAACAGACTTGTATAGAATAAATATTAATCATTAGGTTCATTTAGACTAAAGGGAGAGGGAGAGGGGGGGAGAGAAGGGGAGAGAGAGAGAAATAAACATTGATGAGAGAGAACATCGATTGGTTGCCACTTGCATGCTTCCCACTGGGGATCAGGCCCATAACCTGGGCATGTGCCCTGACTGGGAACCGAACCAGCAACCTCTTGGTGCATGGGCTGACGCTCAACCACTGGGCCACACTGGCTGGGCTTTTATTTTTTTTAAATCCTCACCTGAGGATATTTTCTTCTATTTACCTTCAGATAGAGTGGGAGAGAGGGATGGAAGAGAGAGAGAGAGAGAGAGAAGCATCGATGCGAGAGAGACACATTGACTGGTCCCCTCCTGCACGACCCCAACCAGGTATGTGCCCCTGACTGGAATTGAATCTGTGACTCATTGGTAAAGGGTGGGTAGCATATGCTGCCTTCAGAATATTAAGCTAAGACCAGTACTGCCACACAGAGCATTGAGGACTTCTTATACAGTGACTTTTAGATGGTTACTGTAACAAACGGGTAGACTGAAATTAAGCATAATTCCATACAGAGGTTTCCCAAAAGCTGGCTCAATTTTTGATGTACTTGATTCTGCTGGAAATTGTAAGGACTCTTGAGTTTCAGAGTACTGAGTTGAAAAACTGGATGGGTAAATTGAAAAGACATAACTTGCCCTTCCCCCCCCCCCCAAATCCTCACCTGAGGATATTTTTCCATTTATCTCCAGATAGAATGGGAGGGAGGGAGGGAGGGAGGGAAGGAGGGAGAGAGAGAGAGAGACACTAATGTGAGAGAGACGACACATCAATTGGTTGCCTCCCTCATGACCCTGACCATGGCTGGGGATGAACCGCAACAGAGGTGTGTGCCCTTGGCTGAAATTGAACCTGAGACAATATTTAATTTTTTTTTCTGCTCCCCTTTCCTTACATCATGTGAAGAAAGAACCTCAGGTTTCTATTCCCTGAAACGTATGTCATAAATGGTCATTTGCTTTTTAGCTACATGATTAATATACTTGAGTCTTTGTTCCCGTGGCTGGCTTAAGTTAGCCCTTCATGTACAGAGGAAATAGGTAAATTTGGCTACTGGGATTTATTTGATCTTTCTGGTTGGAGTGGCATACCACAGTTTCTTTCTGTTGTTTAATTGCTTCAAACATGTTACATAACATTCCCTTTCTTGGATATATTCCAACAGTTTTTTTTTGGTTTGTTTTTTTAATCCTCACCCAAGGACTTTTTTTCCATTTTTTGTCCAGATAGAGTTGGGGAGGAGAGAGAGAGAGAAACATCGACGTGAAAGGGACACATCAAGTGGTTGCCACCCGCACATCCCAACCAGGGCTGGGGACAAACTGCAACCAAGGTACGTGCCCTTAGCGGGAACCGAACCCGGGTCTCTCTGAACCGCAGGCCGACTCTCTAACCGCTGAGCCAAACTGGCCAGGGCCCAACAGTTTTTTTCTGGTAGGGTTAAGATGCAATTCTAAGAATCCTTAACAGTGAATATCCCAGGGGATAGTTTGGGGAAAGTCATTTAGAAAAAGCAAAGAGGCCCTGGCTGGTTTGGCTCAGCAGTTAGAGCATTGGCTTATGGACCAGAGTCGTGGGTTTGAGTTGTACCTTGGTTGCTGTTCAGTTCCCCGGCCCCGGTTGGGGTTGTGCGGAAGGCAACTGATGTTTTTGTTTCTCTCTCTCTCTCTCTCTCTCTCTCTTCCCCTCCCCTCCTCCCTCCCTCCCATCTACCTGAAGATAAATGGAAAAATATCCTCTGGTGAGGGTTTAAAAAAAAGAAAGTAAAGAAAGTGAAGAGAGGCAAGAGAGAAGCTAGGCTGATTATGGGCAAACAATGGACCCTAGCCCAGAACCAGGCCCTTGCTTCATATCCCTGGGTGGGAAATGGTACTGCCATAGAGGTTAAGGGAAGGTCAGGTATTATGAAGCAGTTATTTTGAGGTTGGTGATATGAAGCGCTGTCCTTACACTCTCTTCCTCTTATTCTGGTATCAGATGCCCGGTTACTAGTGTTGGAAGTCTAGTGGGTGTTCTTGACTGGAATGATTTAGATTTATTAATAATAGACCTTCAAATAATAATAGCAACTGTGTGCCAAGCACTGTGGTAGGCATTTCACAGGTTTTCTCTTAATATCATGACTCTGTGAGGAGGGTAGAGTAGAGCATTAGCCCTATTTTCCAGACGAGAAAACTGAGGCTTATAGGGGTTAGAGTGATTTGTCCAAGAGAATTCTTAAGAAGTCCTCAGTGTACAAATCCACGTAGCAAGCAGGTAACTTCCTGGCACATACGTCATTCCTGATACCACATTTCTCGTTTTCTCATTTAGAGTTAATAATTTCAGCTGGATTCAGTGTCAGTGGATTCTGTAGTAAGGCCACATACTGCTCCTCCAGAGGTGCTTGTTAATCTCTCTGGGTGATGGGTAAGCAACTTGTTTGTGATTACAGTATGAATCAGCAGTAGAAACTTCCTGGCTGATCTGACCTCTAGGCTGTGCCACCTGTCAGAACTAGAGCTAGAAATGTTGATGATGCCAAATTATTTAACAGAAAAATTTGTGCCTTTAATATGGTAATGGAGAAAGAGACTGAGAAATGCTTTCTGTTATTAGAGAACTTTCTGTTAGGGAAATGTGTAATAACTGAGACACTGGATTAAGTTCTCAAGTCTCGTGTTGATTCTGGGATCCTGAGTTCTGGATTTGAGCCAATGAACTAGTAGTCTTGTCCCTTGGAATATGTCTTGACAGTAGTTCTGGGCAGTTATTCTCACCTCTGGCTGTGCATTAGAATCTCCCGAGGTCCTTTTTAAAAAATAGGGATGTGTTGCTCTGGCAGGTTTGGCTCAATGGTTAGTGTCAGCTCGTGGTCCAGAGAGACCTGGGTTCAGTTCCTGCTAAGGGCACGTACCTTGGTTGCAGTTTGTCCCTGGCCCCATTTGTGGTCATGTAGGTGGCAACCACTCGATGTGTCTCTCTCACATCACTGTTTCTCTCTGTCTCTCTTCCTCCCGCTCTATCTGAAGATAAATGTGAAAATGTCCTCGGGTGAGGATAAAAAAAAAAAAATAGGGATGTGTGGGGCCCTTCTCTAGTGATTCTTTCCTTCTGGGTTGGGCTGTTAGGCCCTTACATCCACAGCTTTAAAGGTCTCTTCAAGTGATTCTGTTGTGCCACCAGAATTTAGAACCACCACTTTGAAATTTAAAATTTTCAATAGAGAAATGTTTCTCCCAGGAACTTAACTTGACATTTTGGTCTGCTTTCCAAAATCTAAATCAGATCATTTCATTGCTATCTCCTATAAGAGAAAGGAGGACAATTTTTACCCCTAAGTTATTCACATGTATATCCTGGCAAGTTGTCTATAAAACATTTCAAAAATAGTACTCTGAATTTTATCACTGGGTTCCAGGCCTGACTCTACCTTTAATCTTTAGCTGCCTGTTGCCTTGTAGTAGAGATAAGAGCCAACCTCTCACTTTATTTTTTTTTAATAGAAAGTTTTTGTTGTTAATATGTTTTTATTATTTATTTATTTATTTATATTCAGATA